TTTAATTTAAATTTAATAACGAAATAATTTATTTTTGGTTTAATAATATAATTTTTTATAAAGATAATAATTAAATATTCTGTTAGAAATTAATGATTATCTTAATTATATTTTAGATTTTTTATATGTAAAATGATGTTTATCCGCAGTTAGTTACACGAATTCAAACATGAAGCTTTAGTAAGATGTACTCATGCATATCCTTCTTGTAATCTTGAATTTTAAGTAATATGCATCAATAAACAGTACTTTATGCATAAAAAATTGTTTTTAACAGTTTTAGTCAAATGCTTTATAATATAGTATAGATAAATATGATTTGCTAAAAAAACAATACTTAAAAGAAACCTCAAACCTCCCTTATATCAAACTCGAATCTACAATCATCAACCAACGATATCATCAATCTTTAATTATCGTTCCCTCCAATCATAAATATTTTAAAAATGTATTTGTAAAAAAAAAATTAGGAAAAACAGCTTCTCGACTATTGCTCCCCTTGAATCGCTTCCACTTCTTCGACTCAGGCAACATGTTGTTTTAATAAAATATAAAGGTGTTGCCCACCAAAATTCTTACCCCCAATTTCTTGTAAATAAAAAATTAATTAATTATTTATTAAATATTATATCTTTTAAATTATGATGTTGTTTGCAAGTAAAATGATATGTTGATAACTAAATGAGAAATACGGAAATTGAAGCCTATAAAAATCATCCATAGGTTTTTTTTTTTAAGAAATAGTTAATCTTTAAATATCAAAAGAATTTGGGGACTTTGTTTTGACAACTTCAGTATTCATCCCATTTTTGAAAGATCAACGGCATTTGTAAACATTAGTATTTGGTTCATTTTAAAGGTATTGAAGAGACGATTATAATGGTATAATTTATAAAAACAATAAATGTTTTTAAATATATTTTTGTTAATATATAGTTATATATGTTAATATGAGAAGGTGTAAAATAAAAAATAGAAAAATAAAAGATATAAAATAAATTAAATAACTAATTATAAAGGTATAAAGTGTAATTTAATAATAAAAAAATAATTTTATTTTTAATTATCAGTTGAACGTGGAGGTTGTAAAGTTTCAAAAATTATACATAATGTATCAAAATTTATCTCACTTAAAAATTCAATAATAACCGTTTAACATTTTTATATTTATAGATAGATAAGGGTGTAAATTAAAAATATAAAACAAGTTAAATATAAGTTTTAAAAGTAACTACTTATTTATGATATTTAATAATATGATTAAATCCAAAAATAATCAATATTGAGCTTATTTTGAAGATATTGATGAGACAATTATAATGATATAATTTATAAAAAATAAAACGTTTTTTAAATGTATTTTAGCTCATATACAATTATTAAGTTAATATGGTCAAAATGAAAAAATAAGAAATATAAAACAAATTAAATATGATAACGTATAAAATGAAAGTTTTAAAAATAATTCATTATGTATTTATGCTTTTTTAATAATATGAGATTAAATTGAGAAAATATTCAATATTAGGTTTATTCTGAAGGCATTAATGAGACGATTGTAATGGTATAATTTGTCAAAAATGAAATGTATTTTTTTTAATATATTTTAGTTAATACACGATTATGTATGATTTTAATATGATAATGGTATAAAACGAAAAATGAAAAAGAAAGTGATATAAAGTAAAGTAAATAACTAACTATAAAGGTGTAAAGTGTAACTTAAAAATTAAAAATAATTTCATTTTAATATTAGAAACGTGAAAGTTTCATGAGTTCAAAACTTGTATATGGTACATAAGGGGTAGTACCTTTTAATTTAGCATGCTTTTATATATATATATATGGTGGAGGTTCAAACGAGAACTCCTGTAATTTACGAAAACGCGAGAACAACTCAATAACCACAAACTTTTTTAATTAATAAATTAACTTTTATTATATATAAATAATTTAATAAGGGCAGTAATGTAATTAAGTAATTTTTATAATTTTTATTAACCATGTTTATCTTCATGTTTCCACGTCTTCTTCTCCTTCATTGATCACGTCTTCTTCTCCTTCATTGATCACGTCTTCTTCTCCTTCATTCATGCGTCTCCAAATCACACTCATATCACACCAAATCGGTAGTCGATTTTTTAAGTTAACCCTAGCCGAACGGAATCCTTGTGATAATCACATGATTATCACACCCAAATCACACCAAATCAT